AAAGATGTTTTTACAAAAGGTGGTCAAATTTTGTGTTTTATAAACTTTTATGGCCATTTAATAGTATTAACACTATTTTATTTACCTTTTTTAATTCGTGTATCACACACAATTGAACAGAACATGGACGCAATTATTGACTAATTTAATATAGTACAAATTTTGTTGACTTTTGTAATTCAAATTTACCGCCAATCTATATATATATAGAAAGAATTACTATTTACTAAAAATAGTAATCCAAAAATTTAGGAGAACATTTATTACATACTATTTTAAGATTTTTTTTAAAAAAAAAATAAATTATTTAGGAATTTGAAATCTTATCCAAATTATTTAGGAATATGTTACAAAAAAAGTGCTAGATTGGTAAAATTTGAGATTTGAATGGGTTACCAATCAAATTCATTCCAAAATCTGTCTTATCCAACTCATTTTATTTTGATTCATTTTTCAAATCAATTGAAAAAATCGTGTAATCTTTTTAATAATTTAATTTATTTTTTACTATTTGTTAGGTAAATTGGTGTTAGTTTTTTTTTTTTAAAAAAATTGATCTTTTTCTATGATTGATCAACCTTTTCAACAATGAGTTTTCCTTAAATTTGTGGATTCTTTTTTTCTATTTCTTAACTAAATTTACCAATATTTTTTTATTAAATCTATATATATATATATATATATATATATATAAAGAGGCAACCTATGTACCAAAAATATTAGCAAAAAAATAGGACAGAATTTAATACAGCCCATAATTATATTTAAAGAAAATAAGAAAATTTCTTTGGATCAATCGGATAATTGAATTAGGGTACTGCCCAGTTTGATTGAATCACTTTTAGGTGATATTTAAAATAGTCAAAAAAAACTTCACATAACTTGGTTGGTCCTATGCGATAAATTCATGTATCAGTTTGACCATACCAAATCGATTATTGAACCTATATTTAAATTTTAATATTGAAAATACTTTATTATGTGAATGTGATGTAGTTCAAATTTCAAATAATCATATTAACAATACTTTTATGAAAGCATGTTTATCAATTTAAAAATATTTATATCATTTTATTAATAATTATGTGAATAAAACAATATTTTATTATAATTTTTATTAATATACAGTAAATATAAGTTTTCAGAATCAGACCATCATCGAAGCGACCAAGTTATTTTATTAAATTATTTGTGGTTTGTTCAGATTTTTAATTTATAAATATTTTAATATATATATAGTACTTTTTGTAATAAATTCAAACAAAATGTATTACTTAAATATCTAAACAATTTAAAATTTCAAATGTTTAAACTAATTGATAGTTGATTCATTCTCTCGTTGAGAGCGATCCCTATTCTCTCGTTGAGAGCGATCCCTAGTGCTTCAGTGTGGGTTGCAGATTGTTATCTTCGATGATCCTTTTCTTTGTAGGTTAGTTTCTGAGCATCGATTTTCTCTCCTTTCCTTTCAACTCTTGTTTTTAGGGTTTCAGATTGCTGCTCATTCCCCATGGGAAATCCGCCATGTATAGGGCAAGACGACTTTTTAGCAAGAAGGTTACAAGGCTTCTCTCTCCTGGACTGTGAACACAATCTTATAGACATTGCTCGAGACGACATCAAAATTAGTGCTGATGAGTGCAATCGAAGTCTGTACGGAAAAAAGTAGGGGACATGAAAGGTAGTTGGATTGGAGTTAAACGCACAATGAGCCACATTTGGAGGCTTCAACATAGCTTGGAAATTAAAGAACTTGGTCCGAATTTTTTTCAATTCATATTCAAAGCAGAGATGACCTCCTCCGAGTTGCCAAGGGAACTAATTGGATCTTCGACAATCAATACCTGATTTTAGCAGAATGGCAGCAAGGATTATCTCCCTCTCATTCTACTTTCTCTAAGCTGAATATCTGGGTCCAGGTATACAACGTCCCTCTAGACTGGCTTAGCACAGATGTGGGGCTGAAAATTGGGAATGTCTTTAAAGAAGTGCATAATGTTGTGGTTGTCGGTGTGGGTAGCCATGGAGGCCGACTCATGCGCCTTCTTGTTTCAGTGGATTTAAATGAATCTTTTCCTAGATGCGCCCAAGTCCGTTTAGATAATCAGACTGCTAGTGTTGGCTTCAAGTACGAAAAGCTGGTCAACCTTTGCCATTATTGTGGCCACATTGGTCATCTGGACAAGGAGTGCTCAAGCAGACTAGCAGACATTAAAACCAAAAAATTGAAGGAGGGGCAATACGGTGACTGGATGAAAGCCCCTGAAATCTACAACTGGGCAGGAATGCCAGCTTCAAGCTCTAGAAGCCCATCTCATTCTGATATTCCCTCTCCCTCACCACAAGCAAACCCTCCTCCAACTTCTAATAGCCATGTTGAAGACAATAACCAAATCATCTTGGCCCCTGAACATTCCACACACAAGCCAGTTCATAACCTTGAACCTTTACACTCAAACAAAACTCCCTGTTCAAAGCCCCTTCCACAGCAGAACCAAAATACCCAGTCCCTCATGCTAATTGATAAACCAATAAACATCCCTAAAGATATGGATCTTGAGATTGTCCAAATCCCAATATACACTGCTCAGCCCAGCTCATCAATAAATCCCAACCCAAAACCTAAATCCTGGAAATGATTACCACTCAAAGATGGCAGGCTTCACAGACATGATGAAGATAAGCTCACAGAGACTCCTCAAGTTGCTGGTAAGAGACTTAGTTCAGTAAAGGAGGCCACTGAAAATGAGAAGGGTCACATACAGTCAAACAAGGAAGAGTGCAAGAAACTTAAGCTTACTTCTGAAAAGGTAGGGGTTGCCAGCCTCGAATGGCACCCAAGTTATAAATGCTAGCTGCGGTGTGGAATTGTACAGGGCTGGGTGGGCCCTCTACAGTTTCCCAAGTGCGAGAGTCATGTAGAACTCACCACCCAGCTTTGTTATGCCTTTCAGAAACTAAAAAACAACACTCTTTCGTCCAAACGGTAGTCAAGAAACTGGGATATGAAGATAGGTTTGCTATTGTTGATCCTATTGGCTCTAGTGGGGGCCTTGTCCTTCTGTGGAAACCAGAGGTGGAAATTAATCAAGTTATATGTAGGGATTTCTATATTGCTGTTGAGTTTAAGATAGGAGAAGCTAGACTCACATGGGGAGTTTTTGTTTACATGAACTCTGACAAGCTGCTCAGAGCTAACCAAAGAAGTGAACTGGAAAGGGACAAAGACTCTTGGGGAGATTACTGGTTTATTCTCGGGGACTGGAATGACATTTGCTTTAAAGAGGAAAAGAAAGGTGGCAGGTTATGATATGCTAGTAGCTTCATTAACTTCAACAACTTCATATCTGCTATGGAAATGGAAGAGGTGAAAATGGTGGGCCACCAGTTCACTTGGGCTAATAATAGGAATGCAGAAAGTTTTGTTGAGGAGAAACTTGACAGGGTGTTTGCATCTCCTCTGTGGTTATCATTAAATCAAAATGCAGTAGTCACCAACATGCTGAGAAGTGCTTCTGACCATTCAATGATCCTCTTAGACAGTGGTGCTCGCAAAGCAAATCAGAAAAAGAGGTTCTCCTTTGAAAATAGATGGATAAAAATGGATGGCATAACTGAAGTTGTAAGGGCAGCCTGGGACATTGAAAAGCAGGGAACACCATTCTTCAAACTCAAAGAAAAGGTTAGAGAAACCAGACTTGCTTTGCTCAAATGGAGCTCACAGTTCAACAAAGAGAACCAACACAAAATTGATAGCATGAATGCAAGGCTGAAAACCATTAGAGGGGAAGGAGTGGAGGACCATTGGGATGAATGGGAGAGAATTAGGGCTGATCTGTCTGCAGCTCACACCTTTGAAGAACAATACTAGAAACAAAGAGCAAAAATCTTATGGTGGAAAGAAGGGAATGCCAATACCAAATTTTATCATGCTTATACCAGGCAGAGAAGGAAACAAAACTCTATTTCCAGGCTTCTCACAAGAGACCATAGAGTATGCCAATCTCAAGCAGATATTGAACACCACATCTCAGATTATTTTGGCTCTCTATTTTCCACTGAGGGTTCTTGGGGTGGAAACAATCTGATTCATCTGTTACCAACATCTATATCTTCTGACATGAACCAAAAATTGCTGAAACCAGTGGATGAAGGTGAAAATAAGCAGGCATTGTTTAGTCTCCCTTCTGATAAATCCCAGGCGAAGACGGTATGAACGCTTTATTTTATCAGCACTTCTGGAATATTGTAAGGTTGGATGTTATTGCTGCTATCAAAAGCTTTTTTGCTTCTGGCTCCTTCCTGAGATATTGGAACCACACCTTGGTGACCCTTGTTCCTAAATGCAAAAATCCTGATTTTATACACCAATATCGGCCCATCAGCCTCTGCAGTGTCATTTATAAAACTTTTTCCAAAATCCTTGCTACCAGACTCAAACTGTGCCTTGATTCCTGCATCAGCCCCAGTCAATCTGCATTCCTCCATGATAGACAAATGCTAGATAATGTCATCATTGCCCACGAAGCTTTCCATTTTCTTAATCGCCACAGAACAGGTAGGAATTACTTCATGGCCCTGAAGCTGGACTTAATGAAAGCTTTTGACACTATTGAATGGAGCAGCTTGCACATTATTATGTTGCAGATGGGGTTTGACTGGAAATTTGTTAATCTGATCATTGCTTGCATTACAACTACCACTATCTCTTTCAATGTAAATGGTAAGGTGAGTGGTCTTGTATTCCCAACTAGAGGAATCCGTCAAGGTGACCCTCTTTCACCTTACCTATTTATCCTTGTGGCTGAGTTGCTCTCAGTGTTAATTCAAAATGCTGTTAATGGTGGGAGGCTGACTGGAGTTAAATTAGCAAGAGATGGCCCCTCTATCACTCACTTGATGTTTGCTGATGACATCTTTTTATTTGGCAAGGCTGATGTAGACCAAAGTCTTGTTTTGACTGATCTGCTGGAACAATACAGGTTATTTACTGGGCAAAGAGTGAACATGGCCAAATCAACAGCCTTTTTCAGCAAAAATACTCCAGACCAGCTTATCAATACTCTCTGTCATTCTTTGGGAGGAATTCAGGTTCACCATTCCACCAAATATCTTGGTCTCCCCCTTGGCCTCAGCAGATCCAAAAAAGAAGCCTTTTCATTTGTGGTGGAGGCTGTTAGAAATAGGTTGAACAGCTGGAAAAACAAGTGCTTAGCTGCAGCTGGCAAGGAGACTCTAATCAAGGCAGTGTTGAATGCATTGCCAGTGTTTACCATGACATGTTTTAGACTTCCAGTCTCTGTGGTGAATGAAATTTCTAAACTCTGTGCTCACTTCTGGTGGAGCAAGGGAGAGAACCAAGACAGAGGCATATACTGGAAAGCATGGAACAAGCTTACCATTCCTAAGAGAGAAGGAGGGCTAGGATTCCAGAATGTGTTGCTCTTCAACCAAGCCTTAATATGTAAACAACTTTGGAGGATAACCAACCATCCTGAGCTCTTAGTGAGTAAAGTCTTGAAAAGCAGATATTTTCCCTCTTGCTCTATTTTTTAAGCTGGTAAAACTCAGAACAGCTCGTGGCTTTGGAAATGATGGCTAGACACTGTCCATGTGTTTGCTAAAGGGTTCAGAACAGAGGTGAGGAATGGTGCAACAACTAGAATTGAGGACATAAACTGGGTTCCTCATCTCAAGAAACTCAGACCCTGACTGCTGAATTTAGCCAGAGGCCACTTGGTTTTTGTTAATGATCTGATGAATGCAGATGGCTTAAGCTGGAATTCATGGCTTTTAAACCAAGTGTTTGATGCAGCTGATAGTAAAGCTATATTGGAAATTTGCACTCTAGACCCTAACAGACAGGACAGAAGCTACTGGTGCCTTAACAAAAAAGGGAAATTCACATTATCATCCCTATATTCATTCTTAATTTCTAAAAAAGTCCAAGTCTTGGACTTACCAGAGAGCAGCAACAACTCTAAACTCATGAAATTTGTCAGAGAAAAAACATGGAAGCTGAAAATAAATGGGAAGATCAAACATTTTCTTTGGAAGTGTAGCTTAGGTACACTTCCAGTCAAAGTCAGCTTGAGAAATAAAGGGCTAGAGGTTGACATCATTTGCAAGAGCTGTGGGGAGAGTCCAGAGACCATTGAACATGTGCTATTCACCTGTGATAAAGCTAGAAGGCTTTGGAAAACTGGGCCTGTGCAATGGGAGGGGGTAGATGATCTGGGGATGAAATTTAGCTCATGGTGGAGACAGGTTTGCTCTATTGGAAAACTAGAAGTTGCCGAAGACAGAATCCAACTTACGACGTACTTGCTATGGTGGCTTTGGCTCTCTAGGAATCTCTGGCTATTCGAAAACACTAATATTCCAGTGCAAGTGATCATCAGAAGTGCCATCTCAGAATGGCAAGCTTTTGCGGCCTTATGATCCTTTTCCTTGTT